TGTTTATGTATATATATTCTGTTTATGTATATACTGTATTCTATATATAGTACCAGTCAAATGTTTGGACATACGAATGGGAAAGTGTCCAAACTTTTGACTGGTATTGTACTATAATATACAAAAAGAATATCGGCCGATATATTGATATCGGCCTTTTTTACTCCCTAATATCGGTATCGGTATCGGCCCCAAAAAACCCATATCGGTCGGGCTCTAGTCCTAACTACACGCGATGTGACAAGATTCCAGCGACAAGCAATTTGGGTGTCCACACTAGACGCAACGTGACACCGCAACAGAATCAATCAAATATCACAGCCAATCAGAAGCATGTATGGGCGGGCTATCTGTGGAAACGCACTGCTCTTGCAACGAAATGGATACCTTTATAATCTAGTTCATAAATATTAAAGCTTTTTAATATCATTAAATGTACATATACTGAGTGACTGATAACATCTTTGTCATGCAATACACTCGTTGGTTCGCAGTGAGTCCACAGTTTTAACTTTGCTTTAATTTATTTTCAAGATCTGAGGTAAACTATCTATTGTTGCTTTCAGTATGGCTATAAGGTCACACAAAATTACATTTAAACTCATATTAAAGAAGTTTAACTTTGAATAAAGCACATAATCACCTGAGATTATCTACTGTCATATAGTTTGTATGTTGTTGTTCCAGCCACGACAAAATAGAAACCATTTCTAAATTAGAAATTTTGTGTGTCGCCGTCGCGGCTAGTTAGGAAAAAAAAAATTATATTTAAACTCATATTAGACACTTTTCACTTTGAATAAAGCTCATAATCCCCTGAGATTATCTACTGTCATATAGTTTGTATGTTGTTGTTCCAGCCACGACAAAATAGAAACCATTTCTAAATTAGAAATTTTGTGTGTCGCCGTCGCGGCTAGTTAGGAAAAAAACTGATTAACATGGAAAAGATACCTTTTATCGCGTGTCGCTAGGACACGGTGTTAGAAACGGTTTCTATTTCCGCGATGTCGCGGCTGGAACAACACCTTGTCCTAACTACACGCGACATGATGCCGCGACACGCGATAAAAGGTATCTTTTCCATGTTAATAGGAGTTTTTGTCCTAACTAGCCGCGACGGCGACACACAAAATTTCTATTTCTGCGACGTCGCAGCTGGAACAACAATACAAAATATAGTACAGTAGATAATCTCCGGTGATTATGTGCTTTATTCAAAGTTAAACGTGTCTAATATGAGTTTAAATATAATTTTGTGTGACCTTATAGCCAGTGCTTGAAGTGGGCCGGTACGCACTGGCATGTTGCCGGTACTCAGAGTAAAAGCGTCAGGGTCTGGGAGCATGACAAAGATGTTATCAGTCACTCAGTATGTACATTTAATAATGTTAAAAAGCTTTAAAATGTATTAATTATATTATAAACGTATCTATATGGTTGTGAGTGCAGTGTGCTTCCAGAGAGAGCCCGCCCACACATGCTTCTGATTGGCTGTGATATTTGATTGATTCTGTCACGTCGTGGTATCGCGTCGCGTCTGGTGTGAACACCAAGCGGCAACCTTCCGGTCTCTCTCGTGAAACCAACACTTAACTTTGAATAAAGCACATAATCACCTGAGATTATCTACTGTCATATAGTTTGTATGTTGTTGTTCCAGCCACGACAAAATAGAAACCATTTCTAAATTAGAAATTTTGTGTGTCGCCGTCGCGGCTAGTTAGGAAAAAAACTGATTAACATGGAAAAGATACCTTTTATCGCGTGTCGCTAGGACACGGTGTTAGAAACGGTTTCTATTTCCGCGATGTCGCGGCTGGAACAACAACATACAAATTATATGACAGTCGATAATCTCAGGTGATTATGTGCTTTATTCAAAGTTAAACGTGTCTAATATGAGTTTAAATATAATTTTGTGTGACCTTATAGCCAGTGCTTGAAGTGGGCCGGTACGCACTGGCATGTTGCCGGTACTCAGAGTAAAAGCGTCAGGGTCTGGGAGATTATATGATCCCATAATATGATTAGAAAGGACACTATATAAATCACACTACCCAGGCGGAATCACTTCTCATCTTGACCAATCACGTTAATGAATGCAAGCGAAGTGTGTCAGGGGAGGCGTGCAGAGTAATAGAATAATAATTAATTATTGATTATTAATTTGAATCAGTACTTTATAACAAAAATAATATCTTAAAATTAAAAGAAGCAGGCTTTTGCAATCACATCAATTTAAACTGGTAAACTCCTGCAAAGTCCAAGGATCCAGTAAACGATTA